ACTAATGAAAAAAACAAATCGATGTATACAATCAATGAAAACCCTGACTTCATGCTCCCTGCTGTTTTCTCTGGCTGCATGAATGAGCTGGTTCCAGGAAGGATTCTGTGAGGACGTGTGACTGTAACACACCATAGAAATGGCCACTGGCTTAGATTTAGGGGAACATTCTGAGTGATTTTCTTCATTACAGGACAAACGTCTTAATACTTTGGTAGCCTTTTTCTTGCCTACCCATTAAAATGTGGATGGTTTCTCCACACAAGCTCCGCTCTCCCTCAGTCCCTTATTCCTCATCTGTGATACCCTGGTCGTCCCGGGACCCCACTCTCACAGGCGGGCCATGGAAGGCCTGCATCCTCCGTACAAGATGCCCTCTGCAGCCCTCCACCAGCACCTCTAAGGCCACAAGGCAGGACCAAGCCTGTGTATTAATGGGAAGGGCCTCTAAATGTGACAAAATGCTTTAGCATAAAGTTTTTGCAAAATAGTCTCAATAAAGAGAACTGGGTACCGTATACAAAGGGGTCCTAATAATTATTGTCTTTATGTTATTATTACGCCAGTTCCTGTTCTTGTGGACATCAGTTTCTCATCGTGGTTAAATGTCCCCAATATTATAAGACCGCAGCAGGCCTGTGCCTGGGCTGGCTACAGCCTCCGCAGTGCAAGAGCTGGCTGAGGCTCTCTCAAAAGCAGAGGATCAGAAGAGCCCTGGCCGCCCAGCCAGGTACACCCACGCTGTGCCTCCTTGGGTGACTTTATACACAGCTTAAGTTTGCTTTCCACCAGGCTGAATGGAGAGTGTCTGCCCAAGTCCCAGCAGGGAGCAGAACTACCTCACCTGGCTGATGGCACAGCTCCAGTCCCTCTGCTGCCCATGAGGGAATGGCCTTCTGTTTCTCTTGCAGGGAGTTAGTTGTTGTCTACAACAACAGATGCATTTAGTGGTGGCTGCAAGGGTCCTTTTAGGGAGCCTGTTTTCTTTTCCTCTGGCCTGGCTGCTTTTGCTTTCTTTTTGAGGGACAACTTTTTTAAACCGGCCACACCCTTTCTCAGCCACATGGTAGGATGGAGAGTTACAGAATGAATTTTTTTTTTTTTTTTTTTTTTTTTTGAGAAAGAGTCTCACTTTGTTGCCCTTGGTAGTGTGCTGAGGTGTCACAGCAACCTCAAACTCTTGGGCTCAAGCGTTCTCTTGCCTCAGCGTCCCTAGTAGCTGGGACTA